TTTCTCAGAGCTGAAGAAGAGCTCTGTGTGACTTGAAAGCTTGTCTCTCACCATCTGAAGTTGATCCAATAAAAGATGTTACCTCACCCACTTTTTCATACTGCTGAGAGATCAGTTTCCTTATTTCTATATGGGAACAGTGGGTGTAGGGTATGATACTGTCCTGTGTTATTAAAAAAATAAAGTATGGCTATGGGGCTATTTTTAAATAGCCCTCTTGCTCATTAGATATATTTTTTAATCCTCATATTGGACCAAAAATAAGCCAATTATTCCACATTGGGGTCTTGGAGACCTCAAGTATGTCAAAATTTGAAAAAACAAACAGGGATTAATTAAAAACTGACTTTATTGTAACCAGTGAAATATAAAAATATGAACTAGTTAAAACTTTCCGAGATTGAGAAGCGCACCACTCAGTACTTGTGTTGGGTTCTAACCGACCCCATGATCAAACAGTTTTTTTATAAAAGCTACACACTATGTAAGCTGTTGGGGTCTAACTGACCCAATCTTCAGACAGTGAAAATAGATAACAGCAACAATATAAAAAGATACAAACACAACAATGTGGTGGTAAATGACATCAGTACTGTGAACAAACAGAGCAAAAAGGTGACATGTTTTGAACACGCCAGTTTTTATAACTTTGCACATTTTAGATGTGTTTTCCGTTTCATTCTCTGGAACAGATGTAACCTCTTTAGGCTCTGGATCAGTACCTAGCACATCAGTACCTAGACAGTCCTTCCCTAGTAGAAGGAGGCAAGCCTGAAGTTTTCCTTTCTTGCACCAGTGGTTTCATCATATCTGAACCCAAGTCCCTGAGGAACATAATTCTCTTACTCAAAGATTAGGCCAAGTGCAATTCAACAAAATTCAAACATACACATTGCATGTCTGAATGTGTATGTTCAGTGCAACAATGAGTCTTTGACCCAGTAACAGCATCCATCAAGCACAGGATTGCAAGAAAAAATAAATCCCATAATTGTGTTTTCCCCAGAAAGTGTAGGCTTCCAAAAAAATCATTTTGAAGGTACAGTATTATATTCAAGGAAACTCAATTTCCTGGACAATTGCGATATACATGAGGCAAATGTTACCTTGGTCTCACAGACCCCAAAAGTCCTTTTAGTACATTTTTTGAAAAAACAAACCCTACTAAGATATGAAGATAAAAACTGCTAAAAGGTTCATATAAACATATCAGAACTGCTGCCTCAGAATGAAAAACAAACAATCTGATTCCTGATACTTGCATAATTAGGGGTCTAACTTGAGTGTCTTTTTTCCCCACTACACTAAAACCACAAGTATGCAGACAAAACCAATGCTAACAGCTTGTCCTCATCATAGTCTGAGAATACATAAAGAAAAGGCAGAGGTTTGCCTCTTATGTTTTATTTAAATTTTTGTAAATGTTTGGGGTCCAAGAGACCCTCAAAGACCTTGGAAGTGTAGTACTTTCATTTTCCCCATTGATTCCTCAATGTAAACTGACCCCATTACCTTTTTAGTCTGTTTTTTTTTGGTAGCAAAAAAACCAGAACAGATAGGAGGATAAAACCAAGGATAATAAAACCAGTGCAGAAAGATTGATGTCATCCTAGTTTGAAGATACTAAATGTATGAATAGAAACAGGTTTGGCATGAAAATTTCTATTACAATTTTAATGGGGGTTGGGGTCAGAGAGACTGCAAAACATTAGGAGGGTTAAATATATTCTAAGTTATATCTTTGCTGATTTTACCAGAGACTGAGCTGGATCCCTTTTTGGCCAATGCATTGTCAACAGCAGTGGTAAGTTAAAACTGATTATTACTGGTGATGAGTACAGCCAGTTGGGAATATTCTGTCAAAATGATTTTTTGATGAAAAGTGTGATTTCTGCAGGAAAAAAAAATCAATTTTGCCAAACTTATTTGATTTTCCATGAGGAAAACTGAAAATAGTTCATTTCAGGTTGGTTTGGCCCAAGTCTAAACATTTCAGTTTGTTTAACTTAACCAAAATAATTTCTTTCAAGTCAGTTTGACATTAAAATGCATCTGTCTATGGTGCTAGAGCACCTAGTGCCTTCTAGTTCAGGGGCCTCATGCCCTAATTCTTTCCTGCGGACCGTGCTCAATGACTGGAATACATTCCCCATGAGGTGCTGCCTCCTCTGACAGTCATGTAGTGCATTATGGGAGATGTAGTGTGACCAAGTAGCCAGGCTCATAAGGAAGAATGAGGGGATAAGTCACCCACACTACAATTCCCCTGAGGCACTAAAGGACCTTAGGCCTTATAGTTTAATGTCAAATTGACTTCAAACAAAAAGTTTCAACATTTCCAAATCAAAATTATTCTGAACGTTTCATTCTATGGGAAAAATATATTTCAACTTTTTGTTTCCATCTCATATCAGGACAAATGTTGGAATAGTGGAATTTCCCACAGGATGGAAATTCAGATTTTTGCTCAGCTCTAGTGATGAGGGGCAAACCCTAATAAGCTGTAAGTTCCCTTTAGATCTCTGGGGTAGTTTGCAAGGCTGACAAAACATCTTTCAACTCATAAATTGAAGTGATTTAATATTCCATCATTGTGACATTAGATTTCCAAAATAGAATTTGGAAAAAAAAATCTAGCTTACTTTTCACTAATTATGCTAATTGTTTGCTTTTTGCATTCTTCTGTGCTCAGATAATTGAAATGTACTATTTAATTTCTCTTTTCTAATCAATTTAACTTCTGAATTCTCATACACTGACACAAGGCTGCACTGACTGGACTGCTATGCAAACACTACAGGAATTAAAATACAATTCTATTGAAGTTTATATATTTCTATTGGTTTTTATGAACGTTCTTTCACTTTTTTCCCTTAAATTTGGAGGTAAATTTGCCATGAGAGTTTCTCTTTAAAGAGTTGTAAATAGAAAAGTAGTTTTAAACAGTTGTCTATATTGTTATTTTACAATCATTAGGTCCGAGTGACCCTGTTATACTTTGTACAGAACCTAACACCTAATTTACTAAAATCACTTAGCTACAAATTTATACTTCAGTCTTGAAAAAAATGAGATACAACACATACTGGATTTTAAAAAGGCCTTGATATTACATTACACAGAGAAAAACATACTTTCAGACTAAAAAAATGTGTTTAAATTTTAATAAACCAACAACCACCATCAAAAGTAAAGTCTCCACAGGAGAGCATAATACAGGTCTTCCCTCTGAGCAACTCTGAGAACAGAAAAGCTTTTATCTCTGCAGATGAGCAGAAATTTAAAGGTATAGTACATATAACAGTTTTAAGCATAGATTACCCCCAACATGTTCCAAAAATTCTCTATACACTTCATCCAAAAACTGTGAGTGTCTCCTCACCCATTCCCTTGGGCTGTATTTTATTCTATTAAAACCTAATTAAAACTTTAGTCAAAAAATATAGTAAAATACATCCAGAAAGATAACATGAAATGAAAATAACGTTGAACGTTTAATAAGACAATGTCTGGTATGACCATTAGCTGAAGCTACAGATCCAAGCTGCCAGTAAATAGCAAAAAACATTTCAGAGTCAAAAGTTTAAAATATTCAGAATGCAACCAATTGCCAACAAATAACTGAAATATGCAGTTCTTTGTTCACTTCATATATTTGGCAGGTGGCTCCAAGAAATGAGAACAAACCAGTAAATTACACCACCTATACAAACATTCACCAACTTCTGTCTGAATTTCAGGTAAGATAATATTCTACATAAACACAGGATAGCATTAAGTATTTATGCACTGTGAATCAGCTCCAACAGGTGAGAGAGAAACTTGCCCCAGTATGACTGGAACACATGACTTATGAGGAGAGGCTGAGGGAACTGGAATTGTTTAGTCTGCAGAAGAGAAGAATGAAGGGGGATTTGATAGCTGCTTTCAGCTACCTGAGAGGTGATTCCAAAGAAGATGGTTCTAGACTATTCTCAGTGGTAGAAGATGACAGGACAAGGAGTAATGGTCTCAAGTTGCAGTGGGGGAGGTTTAGGTTGGATATTAGGAAAAAAACTTTTCACTAGAAGGGTGGTGAAACACTGGAATGAGTTACCTAGGGAGGTGGTAGAATCTCCTTCCTTAGAAGTTTTTAAGGTCAGGCTTGACAAAGCCCTGGCTGGGATGATTTAATTGGGGATTGGTCCTGCTTTGAGCAGGGGGTTGGACTAGATGATCTCCTGAGGTCCCTTCCAACCCTGATATTCTATGATTCTATGATATCCGATAGCTCAGGGGATAGAGCACTCTTCTGAGAGGTGAGAGGCACAAGTACAGGTCCCTACTCCATATCAGGCAGAGAGGATTTGAACTCAGGTCTCCCACAAGCTGAATGAGTGCTCTAACCATGGGGTATAGGCTATTAGTGGAGGGAGAAAGGCATAACTGCCACTGTCATCTTCGGTGTGAGTTTAAGCTTGCTCAAACCATGCCTACCAGATTAGGCCTTGAAGGCAAGACAGGTAGGGGAATGTCTAGTTTGTGCACTGTGTTGAGGTTTAGGCATAAATGTAAATCAAGCACCAACCTCCAGGGTAAAGTCAGGACTTAGGCAGTTGTGTACGTGGCTAGCAAGTGAAATGTAGGCACCTTGGAGACTAACTGTGGAAACTATAAGGGACTATAGGTGCCTACAGTGTTAGTCAGCAGCTGAACAGGGGTTTTGTGAAAGCCAATGGCTCCCAAATGTTGAATTTAGGCAGCTACATCCTCCTTGTGAATCCCATCATCCTTATTGTAAGTAATCATTCTTAGGATAGTCTAGTCTAGCTGAATGGAGAATAGTCATCTAGAGATGATAAAGAAATTATCACTAAACTATCTGTAATATTTGAATTCCACTCCTTGAACTGTTTGTAAACTATCAGAAAAATAAAACATTTACCAGTTATGAATTGCTATTTTCGTAATAACTAATTCATATGCCACTTTACAAAAAAAACAAACAAAGAATGCATTACCTGTGGTGGAAGCAGTGGTAATCTGATATAAGCAAGCAGCATACTGAGGTCACTACATCTCCTCGCCATGTCATATTTAACCCACATCATTAAGGCATGGAAAATAGTCTCTTCATCAGGAACATTCACATCATCACTGGCAAGAAGTTTATGTAGTTCTTCAGCCGGCAGTAGTAAAAACTCTTGATTTCTAATAACTTCCATTATGTTATCCTATGTAGAGAGAAGTATTTCAGAATAAGTCCTACTGGAAAATTAATTCAGCTGCTAAAGCCACAAAAACAACAACAGGATTAGTCAAAAACCTTCACACTTATCCTAACAGGATCCTTGAGAAACAGGATGTTAGGATGAAACAGCTATACTTGTAAAACTCAGGATACAAAGGGAGGGTTACACTATGGAACTGTGTTATGAAGACGAGTGCAATAAACAACCTGAAATAGGGGAACAACGATAAATGGAAAAGTAAATAATCATCATCTGATAATTAGTGAAGATCAGTGTGTCTGTTTAGATATGTATATAGGGCCCCATCATTGTAGTAACAGAGCACATCAAGTATAGAAAGAAAAAAACAAACTACATCTTTCTCTATTTTTTTCTTCCCAGTCTGCTGGGTAAGTAGCGTAATTAGCTCAGGATTGTGTTATTTATATTCGTGAGTGTGGGTGAGTGAGTGGGTGATGTTTTAGTGTGTGAAGAAATAGGGGAAAAGGTACAGCAAGGAACTGAGGTTTGCAGTTATTTCTTGATTCTAGTGGGAACGTACTGTAGCAAGCCAAGTTAGTGCCAAGAACAGTATACAGTAATTTTAAAAAGTTATAATAAAAACATTTATGACGACAAAGAAATAATCAGAAAATGATTTTAGTTTGCTGAATCCTGAAGGTTTGATTGTGCCCTCTCATAAGAAAACTCACAGGAAAAGTGCATGGAAGGAGGATTACTTATGCAAGGCTTCCTCAGCAGAGATTCCTCCAATTTTGTCCACTGAGGCAGAGTTTGCTCATTCAGAAAGAACTGAAAATTTTCTTACAAAATTCTTGAGATTCACAAAGATTTGGAGGGTTATGTTGGAGGCACAGGGCCTTCTCATTGGTGAAAGACTTACCTAGATATGAAAGGGGATGGGAAGCCAATGAAAAGGTCTAAAGAGGGGAGAGAGATAGTCCAGTAGTGAGAAAGGATTGTGATTCTGGATACACCTAAAGTGAGATGAGGGGCAGGGCAGAAAAAAGAGAAGGAGATGAGAAATGACAAAGGTACAGACAAGGAATTTAAGAGGAAGTAGGAAAAGAGGTAGGCACCCAATGGGGTGAGAAGTAATTCTGTCTCCATATCCATTCAGTTCTTGGGCTACATTTACACCAGGAGCTGGGAGTGTAATTCACATTTTGAGTAGACTTCCTTATGTTAGCTCTTATAGAGGTAGTGGCGGTAGCATGGGAAGTGGAAAGCGGCAGCATGGGCTAGCTGTCACAAATACAGGGTCCAGGTTGGTTTGTACTCAGGGCAGCTAGCCCATGTCGCTGTTCACCACTGCCAGTGCTATCACAGTTACACTATTTTTAGTCTGCTAGCTCAATGGGGGTGAGCGCAAGTATGTCTACTCAAGCTGGGAATCACAGCCCTAGCTCCAAGGGTAGACATAGCCTCAGACTATCAATGTAGTTTAAAGTTAGCACCAGTTACAGTGGTTTGTTTTTGGGGAGACATGGACAACCGTCCACTAAGAATGGAAACCACCAACTTATTTTATATGAGGTACCAAATCATAATGACTGAGTCATCAAGGACTTAGATATGACAAAATGATGAAAGGGTCTGCATTCCATTACTGTACCCTTGAGTCAGAGGCCCCAGGTATATTGAACATATTCTAGAATGTGTATGTATACATATACACCGCGTGTATGTATGTATGTACGTACCTGAGAAAGAAACTGAAAGATAGAGAGTGGCTGTGTGTGTATACAATATAAAAAAAACACAGTGTACCCACACACAGTTTAGAAAGTAGATCTGATGCTTGTAGTAGCGGTTGTGAAATACTTTCCATTATAAACCCTTGTTTTTAATTTAAAACTTGTAAATATCTGCCTGTGTGTCTATATCTATACACACAAAGAGTTGCACTTTTATTAAAATTATCCATATTAACTGCTTTATTTACTTAGCCATAAAAACTGCTGATTAGAACAAAGAACATCAACATTTAAAAACCTATCCTGAAGTACCTACAGAACCTATAAATTTGAGTCATTGCAGGGATTTAAGTCTTTAACTCCCATTAAAGGAAATTTAAGTTTAATAGCTAAGATCCTGTGTAGTGATTTAAAAATGTTAAGGAAAAAGTATTCAGGCATTTAACCACAAGTTGGCTTTATTTTTATTTTTTTTATTACATAATAAAACTTCGAAAAATAATTATATTTTCTCACCAAAATATTCATAAGTCAAGCTTAATTACAGTTTGGTTAAATTTAATCTAAACCCTATGAAGAAAATTTATGTCTATTTGCTAATAAGAACATAAAACTTTGCAATAATGTATGCACCCAATATCCTAACATTATTTAATTGACAGAGGTGGTAGAACAACCCTTCATGAATTCATAAATTTTGAATGTCCTTGGAGAACATTTGGTTGCAACTGAATATCTTTATCATATAGTTAAGTTATTTGCTGGCTAGTATTCCAAAAATTAGAAAAATACTCTGAATTCAGAACACTTAACCTCAATTTATTTTTCATATTTATTTATTTTGTATTTTGCATACTTACTCACTCACTCCTTGGTACAAGTATTTGGTTTGTTGAGTTCTACCAATTACAAGATCCTACCCTCAATGTAATGTAAACAACAATAATTAATAACCCAGCAATACTAGAAATGTAATTATTATTTCTCTAGGATTTCAAGTGAAGAAGGCAAACACTAGTCAGACTCATGGACTTTATGATGGTCCTTTCTGGCCTTAATCATCCAGTCTGACCTCCTGCACATCACAGGACACAGAACGTCCCCCACCCCATCCTATAACAGACTCATCACCGCTGGCTGAGCTACTGAAGTCAAATCATGATTTAAAGACTTCAAGTTACAGATAATCCACTATTTACTCTAGTTTAAACCAGCAATCACCCCATGCTGCAGAGGAAGGTGAAACCTTTCCCCTCTCCACCCCCTTGGGTCTCTGCCAATCTGGGAAAATTCCTTCCCAATCCCAAATATGGTGATCAGTTGAACCCTGAACATGATGGCAAGACCCAACAGCCTGGGAAAGAATCTCTTTAGTAATTCAGCTCACCCCATCTAGTGCCCCATCTCCAGCCATTGGGATATTTGCTACTAGCAGTTGCTAAGATATAGATATTCAGGTCTATCTGTAAAGGCCTATACTCTAAGAATTCAGGTGTATTCTTATCACTTGGCTAGTTAGAGAGAGATAAAAGAAAATCAAAATCACTGTCTGCCGGTGTAAGGGCTCTCTCTTACTGTGATAATCTGAGGCCCTGTTCTTAGGCTAAGGCCTTTGGCTAAGCAACAGGCAGCCATAAACTGGGAAGCGACCAGTCACATCCTCACATTCCAAACTAGTCACATTGAAAGAAGGTGCTATGGGGCTGTTAGGAATACAATCCTGTCCTGATAGTGCCTATCACCTACAGAGAAAGGGAAGTCCCTAGAAACTGTAAAAGGAAACTTAGTTTGATAGCATCCTGTCTGGCAAGAACTCACTTATCAATAGCTGGGTGATAAGAAATCCTCACTTCTCTATTGTTTTGTCATTATAGTTCCCACTTTGATATTGTTTGTCTGTATAATCTGTCTGGTTCTGTGATTGTTCTTGTCTGCTGTATAATTAATTTTGCTGGGTGTAAACTAATTAACGTGGTGGGATATAATTGGTTATATAATCATGTTACAATATGTTAAGATTGGTTAAGGTATAGCTAAGCAGAACTCAAGTTTTATTATGTAGTCTGTAGTCAATCAGGAAGTGGGTGGGGGTGGGGGAAATGGGAACAGGGAATGGGGGTAAGGAAATTGGAATCATGTTTTGCTAAAGGGGGAAATGGGAACCATGTTTGGCTAAGGGCAGGAATGAGAACAAGGACACAGGTGTAAGGCTCTGTGGTGTCAGAGCTGGGAAGGAGGGTACTAAGGAAGGAAACTGGAATCATGCTTGCTGGAAGTTCACCCCAATAAACATTGAATTGTTTGCACCTTTGGACTTTGGGTATTGCTGCTCTCTGTTCATGCGAAAAGGACCAGGGAAGTAAGTGGGTGAAGGAATAAGCCCCCTAACAGTAGTCACAGATGGGCCACATGCCATTGTAGGCAGTCTAATCATACCTTCACTTCCATAAACTTAACTAGTTCAGTCTTGAAGCCAGTTATGATTTTTGCCCCCACTGCTCCCCTTGGAAGGCTGTTCCAGAATTTCACTCCTCTGGTGGTTAAATTTCAAGCCTAAACTTGTTTCTGGCCAGTTTATATCCATTTGTTCTTGTATCAATATTGGTGTTTAACTTAAATAACTCCTCTGCCTCTAATATTTATTTCTCTGATGTACTTATAGTGAGCAATCATATCTCCCCTCCACCTTCATTTGGTTAGGCTAAACAAGCCAAGCTTCTTGAGTATCCACTTGCAAGATAGAATGATTAGAGGAATGGAAAACCTAATAAGTCCTTTTTGCACCTGTTCCAGTTTGAATTAATCTTCCTTAACCACGGCAGACCAGAATTGCACACAGTATTCCAGATGAGGTCTCACCATTGCCTTGTAAAATGGCAACAACACTTCCCTATCTTTGCTGATATTACCTTGGCTGATGAAACCTAGGATTGCATTACCCTTTTTCACTACTGCATCATACTGGTGGCTCAGTCATCCTGTGATCAACCAATATATCCAGGTCTTTCTCCTCCTTGGTTGCTTTCAACGGATACATCCCCAGATAAAAGCAAGAATTCTTTGTAGTTAGTCCCTAAGTGCATGATCTTGCACTCTGCACTATTAAAATCTCATCTCATTTATATTACTCCAGTTTTCAAAATGCTACAGATCTTCTTGTATGATATTCCAGTCCTCCTCCGTTTTGGCAATTCCTCCCAATTTTGCATCATCCACAAATTTTATTAGCAGATTCCCATTTTTTTAAGTCAATGTCATGAATGAAAATGTTAAGATTGGTCTGAA